CCAGCGGCCGGCCGGCCAGCGCGGCGCGGCCATTGAGCCCTCCCTGCCCATGAATCTCTGGCGCGTCTCTAGCTCGCTCGCCCGCTCGCCTCCCGCCTCCCTTTCTCCCCCTCCAGCTCCGCGGGCTCCGTGCGCCTCTCCCTCTCCCTCCCGGTCCTCCCGCTGCCCGTCTCTCTCCACTGCCCGCCTCTCGCCACTGCCTCCCGTCTCCTCTCCCTCACGGCAGCCTCCGTCTCTTTCTCCCTCTCTCCTTTGAAAACTGATCTTTGGCTCTTAGTGTGAAAGTGATTTGAATTTGGCTCGGCGGCGCTCTGCGCCTGCGCCCAGCCTCTGGCATGCTGGCTCCTTCCAAGCAGCTGTTTTGGGTTTGAAATTCCAACATGGCAGAGGCTGCAGTCCGTCTTCCCTTCAAAAACTTGGAATGATTTCAAATCATAGGCACCTTCACTTAACCCTAGCTTCCATTCATCAGCAAACACATCGGATCGATGCTACGCTAACCTATCGGCTTTTCGCTCCGTGCGTTCAGGTAAGAGGAGCTTCGTAGTTTTCTACCATCTGTTTAAATTTTTGTTTTTGTTTGTTTTATCTTTAAAGAATATAAATAAATCCAAGACCTGTAATAAAAAGAGATCTTCGAGTTGTGCCGTAAACATTAAATTTAATTTGCACTGGTTTCTATTCTGTACGCCAACCTGCTGCCTAATTTCTCTGTACAAAGTAGCCCTGAAACATTATAATGCATATTTTTGCTGCTTAATCATTGTAACAATAGTGTGGGATTAAGAGTTCGCGATGGCAAGAATCTTGTTTTCCGCTATATTGGGCTTACTTATGACTATCTTTTTACTTCAAAAAAAAAAAAAAGAAAGAAAGCGGAGCCTTAGGGTGGGGCTAGACTTTCTTCGGGAACTAACTTCTAAGTAAATAAGAAGTGTAAATAAGAATCTTGCACACACAAAAAGTTGAGGTTAAATTACAATCCCGTGGCTGGGGGAACGTGAAAATGTCAGAAGATCGGTTGCAGAAAAATGTAAGCACATCATCTTGGAGGGGGTACAGCGTGGTGGGCGTATTGTTGGCAAGGAACGGGAGAGAAAGATGTATAATTTAATGGTATATACAATCCACTGATCCTATTACCGTCCTCCCCGGAGCTCTTGTTAGTTTCAATGGGAGTGAGTGAAATTGACATGGACTTGCATTCCTGGTCATGTGCTTTTTTTCCTTTCTTTCTTCTCCTGTGATCTGAGATCCCCTTTTTGTTGATGTTGCTTTCCCCCTTAATTATATGCATGTAGGTTAAATGAATACCTGACGAAAGGGCCCACGTTTCAAGGCAGTGACATTTGATAGCTGAGAGGAAAAGTGGCTTTAATGAAAAGCAACCTTTGGAATTCCTGCTTGTGAGAAATCCAATTCAGCTTTTTGTGCTGCCAGCAAGAAATGATCAGTAGCACCAGTGTTTATGGTATGTCAGTTTTGGAATTTACTTCCTTTGCATCTAAATAGGAAAGACAAATTAAATAGCATGATAGAACCATTGAAGACTCTGCTTGGGAAACAGATGCTCATGATATATAATTCCTTTAAAAATATATGCATATTTTAATCTGTCAAAACGCTTGTTTATTCTTGCTATCACTTGTTTATATATTTTAGTTTTGATTAATAGATTACTGTAGTCTACTTTGATCAGTTTTAGTTGTTATCCCAAAGTTGCATATTACTACTAATGGACTATATAACCATTGAAGTCAAATGGTATGTAAATTAGTTAAACTCAGTGTGGGGTTTTTTGGGGAGGAGGCTGGGTGGAGAGGGGAGAGGGCGGGAGTGTGGGGAAAGACTGCTTACTAATGAAAGTATATCTATATATATGTACACACACAGAACTGGATGAATTTTTCTCAATCTGTTAACGCAATTTGACTATCGGCTCTCTCAATGATTGCACTTTGTGGAGTAATCAGTTCTTCTGAGTGTGTGTGTTTTTTGGGGGGGAGTGAATGAGTGAAGGAATATCTTTTACATGAAAAATTAAAAATGTTTTGATTGCTTAAAATCTTTAATGCCTTTTAAGGAACAGTGGCAGTTTTTTTTCCCTTTGCTTGCCATTCACTTGTCTGCCTGTCAGCGCTTTTTACTTTTAACCTGTGACAGAATTAAATAATCAGGCACTGAAATTGACTTTGTTTGAAATCGCTCTTTCCTCTTTACAAAAAAAATAAAAAGGTCAGATAAAGGGAGTGAGAGGGGGTTTTCAATAGCTCTTGTGACCATGTCGTGTGTACACTTTGTGATATTCAATTAAGACTAAGAGGGCACAACAACAACAGAAAGACCTTAAAAGTATTTTGCATAACCAAAGGATATGCTCACTTTAAACTGTTGTTGTTGCTGCTGCTGTTGTTGTTACATTTACCCCCACCAGCACCATTCGCCCTGAAAAGAGAGAGAGAAGGAAAGGGAGAATATGAAAGAAACAAATAGTGGGGCAAAGCTGCCAGGGGTCTGTAATGTGGCCGTGGTTACTGCTCTCCTATAACACAAATGTGAATACAAGGAAAGAGACTACAAGAGCCGCTGCGCTACATACACTTCTGGTTGGACTCTGGCGACTGTTGAGCTAAACACACACCGCTCTTACACGATAGGAGGGATTTGATTGAATTTTGCATTTGGAACTTGTTGACTTTGAAGCGATCAATAAGAAGACTGTTTATTTTAGATGCACATAATTTGCCCTGAGAAATGTTTTAAGGAGGAGAAAGCACAGCTTTTTTTTTTTCCCCCGGAGCTGTTGGAGCGAATGGGATTGCCAGATGGGCGATTTCCCTCTGTGATGTTAAAGCTGTAATATATATTCAGAGCAGATTGGGCTGCTGCCTGTGATGAGGAGGATATTACATTTATAAATTTTAAATCGGAGCTCGGACAATGTGCTGAGAGCAGAAATTGGATGGTTTGACTGTTTACCATATTGATACTTAAATGTGATTTCTGGGTAGTAGTGATAATAATCATTGCAATAACATGTAAAAAAACACATTGGATTAGGCAATTATATAATTCATGACATTTAACAGCAGATTTAAGTGTGTAAATTGCCCCCCACCCAGGCTCTGCTTACTATTAAATAATAGTCACATAATTTATTTCCCTGAGTGTCTAAATGCCCGTTGAGCAAATGATGTTCACTCAGGAGCCTTGTTATCACACACTAGAATTCTGGGAGAAAAAGTTTATATATATATATATATATCTATAAAACAGACACTTGTGTATATGTATTAAGTGGCATTAGTGGCTCCTATTTTGTAATTCTCTTACTCTGAATATTTTTAGATTTTGTCTCAAATGTGTGGCCTAAAGGAACCAGAGCTACAAACCTAAAAGGCTGGAAAGTGGGCAAGTGCTCACACTCTGGCAGCTCTGCTGTTGCAAATTAAAAGTGTGTTGTGGTCAGGAAATGAAAGCTACAATGTCTCTTTTGAACAAGTCGTTTATCAAGAGAAACATCTATCAGGGACTGCCTTGTCACATTGATCCTCTAAAAGTTAAGTCTGAGGTGGAAGCAGCTTTGATGTTTTTGATCCTAAATTTAATACGTAAGAAAAAAAGCAAGGATATTTTGACCAGAGTAGATTAAAAAAAAAATGTTTCCAGGAACCAAAAGGATCTGTTTATTAGTATTGTATTATGTGTAAAGTTTTTTGGACACAACATTTGGAAGGCTGAAGGAGAAACCCCAGCCATTATAAATGCCCGGTTGTTAAATATATATTTATAGTACATTCAGTTATGGCTAGCTTTTTGGTTCACATGGATGTTTTGAAAATAGATTACATTAAAGGAAAAATTATTTTGAAAGAGTAGTTTGGAGCAATATGTAGAGAATTGGACTTTCATTCATTCAAATTTTAGAGTTACCCTCTTCCCTTCATCCTGTCTTTTACTACTTTATGTCTGTTTCCTATCTTCTTTACATGTGTGACATATTCACTTTTATTTGGGAAGGAAACGTTTGTATTTTTTTTCCCCTATAAGAATCATTTCCCAAAACATGCTTGCTCACATCATCTCTATTGTTTATTAATTGTATATGTGGATGGTTATCAATATAAACTACAGAGACTCACAAGGCTTTCGGAACTTCAGCTTAAAAATATAGGTAGGTAACAGGTTAAATATGCCATGTATTCTTGAATACTGGATATGCTGCATGTGTTATTCAAATGTTAAAAGGTATTGTTAAGAAAATGACCAAGTTTAAAAAAAAAATGTTTGCTTTTTTGTGTGTGTATGTGAAAGCAGTTAAAAGCATCCTACTTCATCTTGGGAGGCAAAGATATGAGAGAAGTGTTTCTTTGAAATATAGTTCATGGATACCTATACTGCTGGTGGCTGGCTACTTGCTGTTTCATATGGGTCTAGCAACAACTAGTGATAGACCACAAAGAGTGTGGTGGGAGTTTTGGGAAGTGTGATACTTGCTAATTAATCATGTCTGAAATGAAAGAATCATAGCAGGGTAATAAAGTCTCATTGTTGTTTTCCTGGAAGAGAGTAAGACTTCTGTTTGGAAGCTGTACGAGTGAGTTGACTTGCTTTTCTCTTCTCTTAAAAAGATAGTTTGTAGGGTCTCTTTGAAATTATTTCAGGAACCATCTTTTTTTGAAAACAGAGAATAGTTTTCTTTCTCCTGGCTGTACCGAATCGGTGAGATTCTTAAAATTGTCTCTCATATCTTCTGAGTGAAAACATGCACTGTTTTTCTTTAGTTATATCAAAAACTCCAGCAGCTAAGTTTTCAGTACTGTTTTCCCCCTCGCCCTCCCCCAAATAGAAAATCTTTTCTTTTGTTTATATTCATGTTAGGCAGGAACTTTGAAAACCTTTTTGTAGGCAGGTACTTCTGATAGATGTACAAGAGAGAAGAAATTTCATTAATTACTTTTAGATAGCATAAGAACATGAGCAGAGGGGAGAAAACAAGTCGTACCTCCAAGAATCTATAGAAAAAATCTGTGTAAAACTTGAGATTTCTAAGATAGTTTAAAATATTAGCTACTGAAAAGACGAATGAATAATATCATTATTGGTAAATTCTTTTTTTTTTTCATGAGTTTTGGGCTGTCACCTTTTAGAATTTAATATTTTGCTTAGTTTAAACACGGGGACAGATCCTAAAAGTTTAAGTGTCTACAACATTTTGCAAAATTTGTATCTCAAGGTGAAGACGGCTATGCTAATGAGTCCCTATTTTTGTCTGTGTTTGGATGCCTTGAATGATTGCCTAATTAAGTAATCAGTTTCAGTGGTCCAAAATCAGCAGAATTGCTAGATACATTTGAAACAATTGCAGGTCTTTATGTTTTATACTTTCTAGTTTGTTCTTAGAACCCTGGTTTAATAGAAATGTTGACTCTTTTGCCTTTGATCAATATATACTTGAGTATGAATTTCACATACATACTTCTTTTATAAAGTACCACATTTATTGTTATAGAGCTAATAAATTTAATTACCTGGAATTTAAATTGATTTATAAATTTCTGTTTGGGAGAAATTGTTCTGCAGACATTTGTGTGAAATATTGATGTATGCTACTGATCAATAAGACTTGATTAATCAGCATATCTGCTTTTTTATCTTGAGTCATTGATAAACCAGAATAAATCAACGGCAGAGGAAACTGCATTTTTTTTTTTTTCAGTTAAAAATACTTAATGTAATTGTCTCTTCCTTTTGGGATATACAAAAGCTAATGTTTTATTAAAATCAATTGAACTTAGAAATTATTTTTAGGTACTACTTGGAAGACTGTAAGTCCAAAAATTATTTCACCTTTTAATTAACTCTCTCTCTCTTTCCCCTCTCTCACAGACACACAGATTCTAGTTAAATTTTTTGTCTATTGAATAAGAAAAACATTTTTTTGGAAGACTGAAAACAAATGCCTGTTTAGCAAGTACTTTTCATGGTTGAATTTTGTAATTTTATTTCTTTTTTATCTAAACGAATTTTTATCATTCACTTTTTATGTAACTTATAGTAGAAATTTCAGGCACAGCTGCTTTAACATGACTGCTGATTACTGATCCTTTTGATATTTTTGATGTTATTTAAATAGCAGTTGTACTTGAGGGATGCTTACTGCATGGAATGCAGATAGTGGAAATAAGGAGTAGGCAAGAATAAGGTAAAAATAAATTGTACTGATAAGTTTGAAGCAAATCAAAAGCAGGTGGGTATGCTAAGTTTCCTTAGGGCAGCACCACAGGTGCCTGTTCAGGAAGCTCTGCTTCAGCACAGCACATGCTTACGGTACCTGTTGACGGTAGTCTTAGCCGAGACACTGAGGTGGCAGAAAAGATAGGTGATCAGAAACCATCCAAACATGAGATATCATATGGCACTTTCTTTTAATAATATTTACATATTTTGTGCAACAAATCTGCTTGTTGT